TTGAAAAATCTTTGAAATCACATTTTAATGCCGTACTTACCTGCAACGATTCTTTAAGTATAATAATAATAATAATAGATTGGCGCTTACACATATGTTAGTGTTTGGCCAAGCTTCTCCTCCGATTTGTGGCGTGCGCCTTGATGTTGTCACACAAAGCGGAGGGACCTACAGTTTTACGCCGACTCCGAACGGCGATTGTATTTTTATGAGAAGCTGTTTTTCATGGCAGAAATACACTCGGAGGTTTGCCATTGTCTGCCGAGGGACGACCGCTGTTAAGAAAAAACCTTTTTTTTCTATATTTTTGCGATGTTGTTGTTCTTTAAGTATGCTTATGTATAATGTTCACAGAATTTTTCTTGTTCATACACACATACATACGTATAAATTGTTGATTTTCACTTATTAAATTCACAACCACTTGGATTACTAAACTTGTTTATATCAAGCAGCCAAATCTTTAACGAAACGCTCTGATTTGACATACATTAAAATTGCAATTGTGAAACCGTTACAACAAACAAATAATATTGTCGTCCTATACTATGGGTATCACATATAGATGACGCGCTTTGAGTATAACTATGGCAATGAAATAATAGATGGAGCCCTAACGCGAAGCATTTCCTCGACATACCACGTACGTATATATAATGCTTTTAGCAGATCTGCAGAATGTTGGCTTTCTAACCTTGAAGTAAGCGTGTGAAATATTACATGACCTGTCGTATTTTTAGAAGTGGCAGCACCAAGTTAAAAAAAAACGGTCAAAACTCTACGATACAGATTTCTAATAAATGAAACATAATTGTTAAAAAAGTGTGTTTTAGACGAAGCTGGGGTCGCGGAACCTTAATTTGCAATATTTTTTTTTTTTAAGAACCTCTTCCTTTTGACACTCCTAGTGTTTGTGCAATATTTCATATAAATACATGTGTAAGTATTCGACTTTTAAAAACGATGCATTGAGTTGAATTTGAAGTCTTAAGAGAGGCGATCCTCTTACATATAGTTTAGAAATAAAGCCTTTTCAAAATCATTTCGTTTTATTTCCATTTTTTAATAATTCACCTGATTTAATAAATAATTTGAATTTAACTTTTTAAACAGGTGGAAACCCTCCTCAAACGCTTTAAATTATTCCTAATGTTTAAACTAAGATTTGCTAATACTTTTTTGTTTACACAGGTGGCAACCCGCCTCAAACTCATAAAATATATTCTCAATGTACAAACTAAGATTTCGTAACACTTTTTAGTTTTATATCGATAATTGAATAAAATTAGACTTTTCGAACAGGTGGCAACCCTATTAAAAATATGTTCTCAATCTAAAATCTTCTTAAATCTCTTTCGTCTGACACCCATATTGTTATACCTATTTTAATTACCCCATTGCCTTAATTCAAATTGAATTTGATTATTTAAACAGGTGGCAACCCTTCTAACGCAGTTAAGAAATAAAGTATTTTCAGAACTACTGCGATTGGTACGCAATTGGTAAATATTGATTAAACTATTTAAATAATTTGAATTTAATTTCTAAACAGGTGGCATCCCTCTTCAAAGACTTTAAAAATATTCTAAACGTTCCGACTAAAGATCTCTTAAGATTCATTCGCTTGACGTCCATATTTTAATACTTCATATAAATTAGACTTTTCAAACAGGTGGCAACCCTCTTCAAAATGTTTACAAACTACTACATACTTAACCTTTACCGTCTGGCACAAATACATATTTCTATCATCTAATTCCCCTAATTCAAATTGAATTTGATTTTTTTAACAGGTGGCAACCCTCATAAAGTTAAGTTAAGAAACAAAGATTTTAAAAACTTTCCATTTATGCCCATTTTGCAATAATTGGTTTAGCTTTTTAAATAATTTGAACTTAATTTTTTAAAAGGTGGCAACTCTTTTTGAAAAAGCTAAACCTTATTGTACACCTACAGCCAGAGCCCTTTGATTTGGCACATCACTTTTGAAAATCGAACGAACGGTGTGGATCTGATGGCATTGATTATTAAATTATTTGAATGCAGTTTTTTATCAGTTGGCAACGCCTGTCGAAAAAATAAAACCAGTTAACACATCTACAGGCCAAGCGCCTTAATTTGGCACCCCATTTTTGAAAATCGAACGAACGGTGCAGATCTTTTATGCGGAACAAAAAATGCCTTCGCGTATTGTTTTGAACTTAATTTTTTAAGAGGTGGCAACTCTTTTCGAAAAAGTTAAACCTTTTTGAACATCCACGCCCTAAGCCCTTTAATTTGGTACCTCATGTTGGGTCATGGTTGTGAACACCTGCATCTGCTGTATTCATCGGCGTAGCCAGAATGAAATTTAGGCATTCAGGGTACTATTTTATATATATATAAGGAAAATTTGCCCCTACCTGGCTACACCCATGTCTGTATTTATATTTGCCTTCTATATACTTACTTGTTAGCTAATTATCAAGGTCAGCTACGCAAAGTCATTCACCTTATTATTGCATTAAGTTATACCGCTAAATGTTCTTACATATGTACAGTATCGGTCATATCTATAGCACGCCATTTCAAAGTGATATTGTGTGCAACTTATGTTTATTTATTTATTTTTAAGAATTTTCAATTAAAATACAGTTTTTTCTCTAACAAACCCCATATAAACCCAAGATTAATAATTTGTAGAAAACTTCAAAAAAGTGCAACAAATTTTCACCTTAATTTCAAACATTTTTCTCGGAAGTGTTAGGATTTTTCGGAATACACAGTTTTATAGCCCAATCAATTTTAGCCTGACAATGTGCAAGTTTCAAGTGGCTGAAAGTTACCGTTGATTTTTTAGAATTTTATTGGCCAAAGGTGTTGCGGTTTTCATCCATATACAAATAAATTGAGTTTATTCATTATATGGGAGCCAATGCGACAAAAAAAAATCTAAAAAACTAACGGTAATTCGTAGCCACTTGAAATTTGCACATTATCAGACCAAAATTTCAGTGGCTAAAAAACTGTGTACTCAAAAAAATTCTAACACTTCCGAGAAAAAAGTTTGAAACTTAGGTGTAAATTTGTTGCACTTTTTTGAAGTTTTCTACAAATTGTTAAACTTGGGTTTATATGGGGTTTGTTAGAGAAAGAACTGTATTTTAATTGAAAATTCTTAAAAATAAATAAATAAACATAAGTGGCACACAATATCACTTTGAAATGGCGTGCTATAGATATGACCGATACTGTAAGTTATTTGCATCGATCTCTTTCAACCACTCTTCTCTACATAGTCCAGCGAACATACACACTCACTTGTATTGCATCTTAGCTTAGCGAACAAACACACTCACTTGTACTGCATCTTAGCTTAGCGAACATACACACAAACATGTATTGTATCTTAGTTTAGCGAACATACATACATACATGCATACTTAAGTAAATATTGAACTGCGTTGATTTTACCCGTTCTAATTACCAACAACATGTATTGATACTAA